CCACTTCATCCTGGCTTCAGTCGAGTCAAAATGGACCAGCAAAAGATAAGTCGATAGCGTTATAGCAGCGCAAAAGATGTAAAACTTATTTTGTTATTTTTGTAAAATTCTAATGTAGTGAAAATGCCTTTTTTTTTGTTAAATAAAATCTGTTAAATTTTTGTGTTCTGTTTGTTCTTCTATCCTCTAGCCATGCCATGGTCGACACACAGCTACACGCCTGTAGATGTCTTCATGCCACCGACTGAGCTACCGGAAGCTAATGGTAACCCCCTTTCTGTGATTGTGCAGAAGAGTTGGAATCTTCATTGCATTCCATCTTTTCTGGACTTTTTGCGGAAAGGAAGCGTTACAGATTGCCAAGATCTTCCCAAACACGTTGGAATTTTCAGTCACGAGGTGTTCATACAGTTTATGAAAATAGGAAAGACCTGATTGAAGTTATGGACAATATAGAAAGTACTTCACGCGATTCTTCGTCGATTAATCAAGCCAGTGGGTACAAATTAAAGCTGCAAGATACAAATTTTGTATTTTGGCTAAGTATATTCCATAAAATAATGCCACATGTTGAAATTGTCTTTAACCAATTACAAAAAGTATGCACCGATTCTGTTAAGGTCAAAAATGATTTAGAGAATTTTGAAGCAGCAATTCAAACTATACGAGAACAAATGGATAGCATTATTGACGAGATTGAACGAGTGCAGAGAGAAACTGATGAACCGGCAAGAAAAAAAAGGCAAGTTGAAGAAGGCAGCAAAAAACGGGAAGCGTTAGAAATATGCGATGCAGTATTATCGCAAATAAGAACAAGATTTAACTTTTCTGGACATTTAGTTGCTTCTAATTTATTTGTGTCTGAAAAGTTTTCTGTTTATAAACATCAGTTTCCTGAAGCACATTTAAATGACACATGCACACAATTTTCATTTTTAGACAAAAACAGGCTTAAAACTGAGTTACAAGTATTATATCAGAGAGAAGAATTGAGTACTACTTCTGGAGCTGTTCCACTATCCATTTTATTGAACGAGGAAGGATTAAATTGTACGTTTCAAGAAACTCTTAAGCTCTTAAGTATTTTAATCACTATACCGATGTCAACATCTGAAGCAGAACGCTCTTTTTCAATGCTGCAACGGATTAAAACTTTCCTCAGAAACACAATGAAGGAAGAAAGGCTTAGTGCTTTAGGAATGCTGTCTGCAGAAAAACATTTTGTTAGTGGCATTGAAAATTTTAATAATAAGGTAATCGAAAACTTTGCTACCAAAAAAGAAAGAAGAATGGACTTCATGTATAGAAAACTTTGAAGTTATAGGTACTTCTCCACACTTGTTTTATAATTTGGTGCGCGTGTGTAAATAGTTTTATTTTTGATTTTTTTTTGGACATATAGATTTATTGAACCTCAAGAACTTTGACCACTAACTATCAGGGGTAAGTTATAAGTTATTCTTTACAATTTTGAATCGATTCAAAATTATGGCTTCCATTCTGGCACTACCTCACTGAATTGGCACGAGCCGCCACTGAAGTATAGTAGTATAAAGATCCAATAATGAATAAACCAAGAGGCATCGTACTGAGGTAGAAAGTAGTAGCAGTTTCAGAACCGTAGGAAGAAAGTTCGAATCCACAAACCCCCCTTTCTATTATTTTTTTTTTAAATTAGGTGAAGTAAGGCTTTTTCACATTATGCGTACTTTTATTGTGATCAACAAGCAGCAGAATTTTGTACAGCGAGAGTGAGACACTGTTATTATACAGGGTGCGGCAGAGAGGACGGATGTCTACGAGAGAGGTGGGGAGGGTGCCGTTTGACTCGTGAGATCCAAGCATTATTTTACCAGTTGTCGTTATGGAGCCTTGGACGGTGGAGCACCGTGTTTTCGCCTATGAGTGACGAAGCACTTTCACCTAAACAGCATGGTTAACCAGCAGAATTGTCGTTATTGGGCTAATGAAAACCCACAACAGTTACACGAAAGACCGCTGCACAGCCCAAAAGTAACGGTTTGGTGCGCTGTATCGCAAACTTGCATCATTGGCCCTTACTTCTTCGAAGACGGTAATGGTCGTGATGTTACCGTGAACTCAGAGCGCTACGTCGACATGATCACCAACTTCTTTCTCCCTGAATTACGACGGCGACGTGTTCCAAACCGACGTGTGTGGTTCCAGCAGGATGGGGCGACCGCCCACACAGCCCGAGCATCCATGGACGTTATTCGCCCTCTCTTCCCTGGTCGCCTTACTTCCAGGTTTGGCGATGTTCATTGGCCTCCTCGGTCCCCAGATTTATTCATATGCGATTTTTTCTTATAAGGACACCTCAAGGCTAGAGTATACGCGAACAAGCCCCGAACTCTGGACCAATTGAAGGGCGAAATTCGCGAACTTCCAAGAACGCCTCCAGCACTGCATCAACGATTTCTTCCACCACATACCTGATGTGATTTTCCACACCTGACTGTCTCAAATGCTATTTCTTTGTGAACCTGATTCCATCAATAAATTTGTTTTCGAGTAAAAATTAACTATTTTATGATTTTTTAAAACCGTCCATCCTCTCTGCTGCACCCTGTATATAAATAACAATTTAATTCCTGGCATAGCAATCTAAATATTATATCAGATTTTTGTCCATGCTTCGAGTATTAAAATAAGTTTTTGCAGCTACACCAACTAATTTATGACGTATTTCTTAATTTCATATGGGAATTATAGGCGTATCGTACACAAATCGTATACTTGGTTCAGAGAAATTTTGCAAGAAATCGACCACTCATTAAATCCATTACTTCATTACTTCTCATTGGTTGAATTTGTGACCCATCTTAGTAAAATCGAGTCTTAATGTACCAAATGCGGCATTTTTTATATTACTCTTTTAATTTTGGGCTTCTACGTAATATTAGATACGCAGCTTGAACGTTGGTAGTTATGTCGTCTATTCCATTCGTTCGGCTTTGTCAATTATTTCGCAAGCCAGGGGAATTTTCGTCTAATATGATTAGACTAGTAGGCAAAATACCGGAATTACCAAGGCCTCGCGACTGCTTTAGGGTGGTTAGAGTCACCTTGTAAATCTGACTTTTGATTTGCTTAACCCACATCATACTAATGATACAAAACTAGTAAAAGTCACTGTTTTTTTTTAATACACTTTATTAGTACATGCAAATGAAACGTTTACAGTTCTTTCTTTTTTTTTGCATACTGATCATCCAAAAAATGCGTGGTTCGATTGTGAACCGCTGGTACCAAAGACAAACTTTTAATAGTGCAAATATATTATATAGTACTTCAATCCCTTCAAAAATTGGAGATTCTTAGTGGAATTATTATATTTTATAATGGACATAGTTGAAAATTATCCAGTACATAGAACTTCCATGTTTTTTTGGTGTTGCGTTCACGCACCATTGGGATGTTGGCCGACAGAAATATATTCATTTCTGATGATATTTTTCGAAGCAGGATACGTGTAAATGTACTTTACACCTTTTGCACATGTGCACTGTGTGACTATGACATTCTCTGCAACGTCTTCGTGCCTTATTCGGGTGACGAGTTACAGTACGGCCACAGTCATCAAACCGAACCTCAACAACTGGTTGCAAATTTCGAGGAATATGACGCCTGTCTGTCTTCATAAGACGAAGGGCTACGTAGGATTTGAAATCCAATTTGGGAAATTTTGTTCTGATTTACGGAATTATAAAGTTTCCAGCAATTAACGATGATACTGTCGATTGAATTACAAAATATGGGCCACCACCATTTCTTTCCCATGACTCTAATTCTGTAGTTTGCAATGCCATTATCGTGAAGATCGACACCTCCCATACAGCGATTGTACCTAGCAATGACGTTTGGTTGCTGTACATGAATTTCTCTTTTTTCTTTCCTGTTGTATCGGCGGACTTGGTTTATAGGCTCAACATTGTATACATTGCTACAAATGGTAATGGTAACTATAGCATTATCATTCCAACGATCCATTGAAATTTTGTTATTTTTGTCACACGCGCAATCATACGCTCCTCGTTCTCGCTTGGACATGATTTTTGGTTCAACTAGCGGACAGTGTCCTGTTCGATTACTTCTTATAGTTCCTGTGGCATAAAAACCTTTGTTCTTCAGGTCAACTAGGAGTTGATATGAAGAAAAGAAGTTGTCAAAGAAAATATTATGTCTAGCAGGATAATCCACGTTGGCAAGTAAATTGTTGACGATTTCACCACCAAGTCCCAATGACGTCCTTTCTTTGTTAGCGATTGCTCCTGCATATGGAATAGAATAGAATAAATATCCATCTGACAAACATAAACATCACTGCTTGAATCCAAATCGAACTGGCTTGCCTTTTATAAACATTTTGCAAGAATGCCTACCGAAATAAGGAACCATCTGTTCGTCAATTGATAAATTGTGTGCAAATACGCCCCACTGCATATTTTTTTTATTTACAGCGTCTAAATATGGACGAAGCTTAGAAAATTTATCATCTTTATCTAAATTACTATTATCAGATAAATGTATGTTTCGCTTTATGGCTTTGGAATCTATTCCGACTCATGCACTTTTTCACTATGTCTATCCCCTTGTCCTCCTCGTTTGACCAATAGAGCGGAACTTGCGGCAAGGTGTGATACCCAGAAAACAGCATAATGCCTAGGAAGTTCAGAAGTTCTCCTTTGGACAAACAAAATCCATGTCTGTTGTTTTGTTGAGCGTATTTCACAGAAAAATCTAAAATCAAATTTATCAAATCATCATCAAAGAAAAGAAAAAACATCTCTAATGGCGTTTTTCCAGCCAGTACATTGTTTAAATGCTCCATATCAATGTCTTCGTTGCTGATGGATGAATGAGTGTACTCCAGTGGACCCTTTTCCCACTTTGGCTGGAGGGGCGGCACAGCACAAATTGTGGATGTGACTGGCACGGGGGGAGGAACCAGTCGCAATTTTTTTGACGCCAAAAATTCATCATCGGAAGTATCGAATTTCAGCAGCGTCATCTTCATTCATAAATGCGTGGAGTTCAAATGTACCAGCAATGTCTGAAGGACCTGGTACATCAATTTCGGGTAGTAGCTCATCTTCTACATCCTCCTCGTCAGTTACATTGTCTACATCTGGAGGTATGTAAACAGCATCAAGAGCACCTACGCAAAAATAAAAGGGATGCAAATGAGGTTAGGTTAGGAGTTTTCGCACACAAACCTTTTCTGTAGTTGTACAGTTCTTGTCCAGCTTCTTCAACGGCAGCTTCCAATTCACTTTGAGTCAGAAATCTTCGAAATGACATTCTTAAGATGGATGTATGCACATATCTCGATGGTATGCACTAAACACAACTAAAACGCAACTAACGTAAACACCTGCAAATGCGTACTGCGTACCTCAAGTTCTCGCGCTAACTTGTCTGAACAGGAAAATACTTAACTGATAAAACCAATGGTGCACAAACGCACCAATAAAGTTTCCTCTTGTATAACTTCAATTATAAGATCGAAGCCAAACTTTTGACAAACAACATACAGACCACATAAGTTTCTTTTCCACTATTTACAGGTAATTATAGGAAAAAATGAGTCTAAACCATAATTCATTGAATTTTAGACATGTTTTACGGAACCAAATATAATATTCATGTCAAAAACCACCGCCATTTTTTCCCTTTGCTGTCAAGGTCAAAAACAAATTAAATTTGGATACAGTAGCAACATATTATCTCAAACTACACGTATTAAGCAGTTAGAACAAGGAACTATCCGGGAAAAAAATCATAAAATTGGCGGTGCGTAAGCGCACCACTGGGACCAAATGGGTTAAGGTTACTAGAACCGGAAAAAACCTATTCAGGCAGAATGTTCCACAATCTCGACACCCTAGGAACAAAGAAGCAGTTGTACCGGCCAGTTCTGAATGTAAAAACTTCGACTCGGTAAGAATGAGAGGTCTGGCGGATCTACCTGGCTTACTCATCGTACGGCATCATGGAGGAAAGGTCTAAGGAGCAAAGCTCGTTGACGTAGCGATAACAGAGAGCGAGGTCAGCGACGGCCAGCCCCTTCTTTGAACAGCATCGAGTATGGGCAATGTAGTCGAGGCTAGATATTATCTGAGCCTTGTACAGTCAGGAGGTTATGTGGAGAAAAGTATTTCTTACCTACTTTTCTGAGTAGCTGCCACAATTACCGTAGTAGTAGTAGTGATAATGTGTAATTTCATCACACCGATTTTCAGCTTTCTAGCGTGGCTTGTTAAAAAAAGAGTGATACATTTTTGAAAAAATCTGTACACTAAAGTTAAACACATAAACGTCCTCTCAAATTATAAAGGCTCGATAAACGTTCAAATAAGTAGTAGTAATACTATAAAATTTTAAAGATTCCGTTCCGAGTATAAAAAACGGTTTTGTTTACAGCCGTACAGCAAATTCAAGCAATAAATATAACGATCAAGACAACAGTCTTGATTTTTCCTGGATTTCTCGAAATACCGGATTCGTTCCGAAAGAGCAGGACATAAACTAAGACAGTAAAAATGAGATTTACTATAAACGCGTATCCTTGTCGCGTGATATAACTGTACATGCAGGAGCGGGCTCAGATCTTCGATTTTATACTCGTACCTACGTACTGGATGCACCGTATGCTCTTATTTCTATTTCTTTCAAGACATTTTTTAATACTGCAGAAGCGTAGGCAGAAACCTAAATACTGCTGCTAAAAAATAGGTATTTTCAATGTAAACATTGCTTCGAACTGAACTTGTTTCAGATTCCTGGAAGTTCATGGACAGCGATCCTCCTGTTCCACTTCGCCTCTCAATAACCACCCCCGAGACTGACAGACGTCCAGTCCGTTCTTCGGACAGACACTAAGCTTCCAGCACCACTTTCGGACGTGTTGAACGAAAACACACTTGTCGTCATACACTTGTCATCTGACGATGAATATCCACGGGTGGCGTCCCTTTGACATGGAGAAATAGAATAATAGACCAAATTATAGTTGTTGAAATAGTAACTATCCCTTATTCGAGTACCCGAAGTAAAGAGTAACAATACGAGCACCAAATGATTACTTCGATTACTCAGTTTTCCGTTCCCGTATGCGTACAATCGTTGACCGTTGAGTGGCAAGGCTGGTTTCTGCCATCTTAGGCATCAGTGTATTAACACAAGTATCACTTCCGCTCATGCATAAGGGTTGCTAGACATCCCAGATTCGGGTTTTATGCGTAGACTAAGCACCACCTAGAATTTTTTATATTGGCACATGTTTAATTGAAATGCCCATAGCTTCTAAAAGTTACTCCGAATTCCTTCAAGCTAATATACAGATCAACTTTTTAACTAAAAGACATGCCTTTGATGCATTTACAGTACCTATAACTACAACGTATTTTCAGTTTGTAGGCATATTATGAGACATGACACCCTATCCTATAATAATCCACCTCGTTTTGCATAAAATTTGAATATCCGATGTTTTCATTAAGCACGGCAGATTTTAAGTATGATTAAAAAAATGTAAATTTTGAAGTTGCTTCTTTGCCTATAAGACAACTTACCAAGCTAAAGGATAATATAGACGTTCCATTGAAGTTGTTCAAATTCGGCATTAGTCATTAATCACGCGACGCACGTTGCAATATCGTTATACTCATACTACTCATAGTAATCAAAGTAACGAATACAATAAATTATTACTGTGTAGAGGAGTAACGATAAGTAATGAATATTCGAAAGCAAATCTACCAAGACTGAGCGACGCAGGGTGCAGCGAAGCACATCATTGCCAGATGGGTCAGACAGAATTCCTCCCGAAAAAGCGCAAAAATATCCCAGAATCGCAGCTTCAAAAGAAAGTCCTCCCCATTTCACACTATATTAGTGGGAAGGGCTAGGTTTGGTTTGAAGAGCGGGGACGGGGTGCTTTATTTCCGCGAAACGTGTGATTCATAACTTTATAGAAACAGAAGCGATTTGTAATACCTAGCTGATTAACTTTTACCTTACGCCTTACGCGAGAGAATTAGACAATTCTTCAAAAGGGTATCGTCATTTTGTAAGTCAATTTTGTCCTCTGTGATATTAGAATCGCACAAAAAACGAGTTACCATCTAGTTTTTTCTTTCAAAACACGTGTGAGACAAGTACAGCTAGATCAACCGACCGGTTCACATCTTACTATTCTGTTTTTTTATGTTCTATGACTATGAGTACAAGTCTATCAACTTACAATTGACATTGTAGCTTTTTGTGAAGGTATGTGCGAGTACGACCACGAGGAAAGACAAAGCTACCGAAAGATAAAATTGTTATTCAGAAGTGTACAGTTTTGAGTGGTTAAAAATGGAACAACTTACCCCAAAAATACCCAGCGCTTTTATTTTTTCCCCAAAAAATCCCCCAGAACATTTTATCGCCAAAAATTTCACAAGAGAAGAAAAAATCCCTCAAAGTTTGGGGGAATCTATCAATATGGCAACCCTGGTGGAGCGCATCTGAGGGGAATCGAGAGTCGCGCGGCGCTGTTACTGGGCTTCGCCTGGCACCTTACAGAGTGGCTCGGACTCTTTGGGAACCATATTTCTGGATCAACCCTCGTATTTTCGAGATATACCTGTTGCTTGCTAAGCCTATAGGATTGAGGTCTTCTTTCCGTAAGCCCGATACGCGGTATGTTGGTTTAGCCTTCGTGGCATCAAAATAAATATTCATTTAACTCCCAATATTTCAAATACGTTCCTGTACACATAAACAAATATGAAGAGACGAAGCCATCTCCAAGTATATCTTTTGCATCGATTATGATTATGATGCCGACCGCATGTTAATGATCAATCCACCTTTAATTATTTGCTGAGATAAAAACAGTAATATTTAGCAAAAACGTTGCATTTTATGATATCCCAAACGACATACTTATGTGCTGGTGCCTAATTTTCAATACTCGATGTCTCAAAGTTGTCTTCTTGGGAGGTAGAAATGGATGCAGAACTCTTAGTAAAAATGGAAAATACTATACTATGTATTGAAGTATTGAGCCCAAACAAAAGCTGAAACGACCTCGATGAACGGATTTGCAATGCTATAGGGACGCAAGAACACAATTTTGCATTTGCGAAGACGAAGATTCTCACTATAGTTCTTTTCCATATTTGGAAGTGAATTTGCCATTTAATTTGGCATTAAATATAACGCCTGACCTTTCTATTCAGATTCAGAAATTGGAATTATGTTATCACGTGATGCAGAGATTTAAGTGTTATCATATTATCAAGTTGGAAGAGGTCATTCATATTCATTGGTGATATTGAAGTTTTTTGAACTGCTTGTTATTAGTAGGACAGTGAACTCAGCCATATAGTCCAACAATCTCGAAACACAGTGGACCATTTATGCGAAAACCCGGCAAACATTCAAAAAACAATGGAGCGAAAATGAATAAAATGTATTAGCTATTTCAATGTTAATACCTGAAATTATAGCTTGGTCATGGAACTTACTGTACACAGTGACATAGCGTGGACTAATCCGTATAAAAGGGACGCATTAGTGGTCCCAGGATTCATGATCGGAAGGGGATTGTAGAAATATGAGAAACTGAAAGGAACTTTAGATTCGTATGCAGTTTGGACTGAGACGATCGTGGCTTACTTTTTCTCAGAGGGGTTAACTTATGCCTCTACATAATCCTTTAACTGATGACAGCGTGGCGTATGAAGTGGAGAGTCAACCTATTGTTTATGTAAGAATTACTCAAAGAGGTTTTTAATAAAGTTCCGCCCTCTTCAAGTTATGGCAGCTAGTCGGAATCGATAACACATTTTTTGTCTGAATTTGTTTTTTGAGTGACCTTAAAATGACCACCAAATGCCTACCTAGAGACATACTCATCTCTGATTTTGACTCAACGACCCCAAAAAATTCTCCGACATGCGTCTGGACATAAATGCTAGACCTATTTCGAACTCAGGAACTGGAAAAATCTAAATTTCATGTAGTTGGGTTCAACTACTCTGTTTCATTCCAGAGTTTTCTTGTTATGACCTTAAAATGACTTTCAAATGCCCTCATATGAGGTCTGTAAATTAAGTAATGAGACTGGTAACACTTGTAGCGTCGGGCTTGGAGGCGGGGAGGCGGGGGAACATGTGACGTGTGATCCGCTTTGTGAAACAGTTTTTTCTATTGTGTACTAAAAGCAACGGTGTACTATCAGGTTTTGCTGCAGAATTGGGCACAGTGCAACGGAAACTATTGCTAAGCTTCAGCAGGCCTACGGTGATAGTGTTTTGTCAAGAGCATCGGTGGTTTCGGGCATTTTCAGAAAGGAGAAAGTCGATTGAACATGAACCATGAAGCGGAAGGTCATCTTCAATAACCGATGAAAATATCGACAGAATACGGGATCTTGTGCATTCTGATCATCAGTCGACAGTCAGAATGATCGGGGACGAGTTAAATTTACCACAGTTTATCAGATCAAGTGTTGCATCACGATAATGTCACACCGCTAAAGGACAAAGGATGGGTCGTACCGGC